TTACTTCATTTTATCCTAACTAATATGGATGTGGAAGGACTTTGAATGTTGGATTAACTTCTTATCTACAAACAAAGCATATCTTTTGAGTTTAACCTTCCTTTTAAAGCAACATACTCATCTATTTAACAGTTAAAGATAAGAAAGTAAGACTGCCTGTTTCTGGGAAGGTTACTTAGATGTACGGGTTTTCTTAAAATATTATAAGTCATTTAATATTTTAACTCCCTTCTAACACCAGTGAAAATGAGCTGAAGGTGAAACATTGTGTGCTTCTCCGGCATCAGTGTATAGCTGCAAGGCAGAGCATTCTGCAGGAATTATACATAATTTTCCAAGTAAAATTACATCTGAAATATATGGGGTATTTTTTTTTTATTTAAATGGTTGTATTGCTACTGGTCACAGCTGAGTTGTGCAACCAAATAGATGTGCCTTTAATTTGGTTTTAAATGATCTCGTATATTCTGGAAATTATAATCTGAAGGGTGGCTGCCATAGTAATGTGCCAGTCACCATGGCATCTGAGCATTATGAAAAGAAATTCTGGGCTGCACCAAGACAAAACCACCAATTAGTATTTCAAACTGATGAAAGGTGGAGGAGCAAAAAGTTTGCCAATAAATGTAGCTCAGTGTATGACACTAGAAGTTAGAGTTTGCTTTATACAAAGTTATAAAGATTTCAGTCCTATCAAAATTATGTGAATTTATAAATAAAAGCCTTAACACAGACTTTGTCCATTCACTATGATAACTTTTTACAGCAGCATGAGGAGTAAGGCTGTAGGTTTTTATTTCACTGGCCTAGGGAAGAAGCAGTTTGTGGTTTTGCTTTATACAAATCTTTAGAACTTTTTCCTCCTTACAGAATTTTTTACTTTAAATGGAAATTAAATTAGTTAATGAAGAAAAGGGGTTTTCTGTACTCGACTGGTAAATATTCCTAGTCTTTAAAACATTTTGCAGCCTGCTTTTGTAATACTACTCTCATTATCAAACAAACCTACAATTAAATCGTTATTTTAAAGCAAGTTTATTTTATCTTAAATAATTGATTGAAGCTTGTCATTTGAAAGAGGACTACTTTGGCATGAATCCCAAATCCAGTTATGATCTCAACTCAAGCAGTTTGTTTAATCAAACATTACTCTAATAAGTCTTACACGGTCCCCTACCCGACCAAGCCTGCCTATGACAACTAGTTTATTCTGTGACGAGTTGCTCAACAGATGTCATTCTGGTAGAGTAAAGCAGCAGAATACTTGTGCGTTGGCTAAAATTACTTCAACTTTGATCACTTTTGTCCAGCACATCAGTCTGGCATTGTGCTTTATACCAACATAACACTTTACCCCGAGCATGCCTTTCAGGCTTAGAATAGCAGAGGAATGTTATTGAATTCAGTGCAGTTGCAGATGAGTTAATGAAAGAAGGGAAATACTGTTTTTTTCATAATGCCTTTCTGTTGTACTTCGGAATTAAAAGGGAATTTGAGGAATGTGACTTCTGAGTTATTTGTTTTTACTTCTAAAGGCTTTTTGAAAACAAGATTATGTAGTTGTATTGATCCCACGTTTCTGTAAATAAGTTTCACTTGTTATTTGAAAATAGCTCCTTTTAGAGTTTTATATTGTGAAAATAATATTAATAAGACTTTTTTGATGTGTAATTGGAGAATAGTTGTCTCACAGGGACAGTTGATCTCTGTATTTAATGCGAGAAAACTAAAATAGCAAGAACCTTATTCTTGTGATCACAGATCAGCATTGTTACATTTTGATGGGCTGTTGTGGGGTCAGTACGGAGTAATGACATCTCTGTACCTTGATACTGCTGCGAAATGAATACTGCACAGCAGGCTGCCTTCTTGTTAAGAAGCAGCGAAGAAAGGCTGTTTGTTTTCAACAGTAGGAATGAGATCATATACCAAGTTCTATAGAGTTTGGGCTTCCATAATTCCATTTTTCACAGGTGCCTGTGTGTATACGTATGTGCATAATATAAGAATGTAACATATATATATGTGTGTATTTGAAATGAATTTAAATAAGTTTTTAATAATTAAGGTGTATTTGTATTTCTAAAATCTGACAACATGCTTAAGTATGAGGAAACGCTAATATGAAGTCCACTTCAATTGCTAAGAAGTACTTCGATATTCTGTGTGTTAGTTTTTTAAATAAAAATATAGTTGTAAATTTTTAAAATTGAAACCTACTGACCAGACCAGTCTCCCTGCAAGAACTCCTGAACAAAACAAAAATTAGTATAAAGGTTATCAGGTGTACATGTAGTTTACCAGTTTTACAAAAAAAAGGAGAGATATCTTAATGATTCTAAAACATATGATGATGGGAAAGCTGAGCTGCAAATCCAGCTCAAGTATATGTTATGGTCCTGAAATGTCCAGGTAAGGAACCCACGTGGTCTGACTTTCATCCCTTAGTGAGATGTAGGCTCAAGAGTTGGAATTAACGTATCTTATTCTTGGATAATAAATTGAAGCCATTGTTTTCCACTCATCTGTGCAGAATATTTGTATTTATGAAGCTTTAAACCGATAGTATTGAAATTATCCTTCTCATAGCCTATATATTAAATCTATCAGAAATGTGAGACAGTTCTTCACAGTTTTTACTGAGGGGCACTTTATTAGTATGAAATACCACCACCGCTACTACTACTGCTGCTAGAAGTAGTGAGAATGAGCAACAGTAATTGAATGGAGGATCCGAGAACTGGAAATACATTAAGGGCACTGCGCTTTGTGTTTGCTCTCTGTATGCCCTGAATTTTTGCAGTGGTATTTATTTGTTGGCAAACTCATGCAGCAATGCCATGAAGAGTCTTTTGAAGAATGTTGCCTGAATCAACACTGGTGAGCAAGCCTGTGTGTGGAAATCTCTGCCTCATCGCTTGCGCCCCTTAGGATATTTACAGTGATAGCACAGTTCTTTTACTGCCTAATGTCTGCATGAGTATCATTCATCCATATATTAATGTGCTTGAACTATGTGCAAAATTTGAAAGAAAGGCTCCATGCAGCATTTCTCTCTAAAGGTAATCCAGAGAAAAAGAGGTTTGGTGTTATTTCATTATGCAAACACACTTCTAGATGAATATCTACTGCCAGATGTTGCATATACATTCTGTACTAAAAATAAATGTCAAATTTTGAGGCAACATATGCACATTCCAATGTTTGTATTACCGTATTGCCTTACCGTGTATTCAAACCTCAACTGTGCTTCAGTGATGAAGCTCTGACAGGTACAAATTATATAAAATGTCTGGATAGTGGATCGCTTTGTTTTGTTGCGTTATCTCCCTAAGAACAGTAGTTTAGAATAATCTTTCATTCATTTCTTGAATGTGAAACCTTTAAGTATATGGGTTATGTTAGTATTTCTCATTTTGACAAATTTCAACTTTCTTCCTGTTTTTAACTATTTCTCTGTTCAGAGAAAGTCAGTAACTTAGGGTAAGAATGCTAGATCACAAGCAAGGTGCTACCTCACAGATCTTGTCTGATGACAACTATATCTAATTTTTTTCACTTCACAGAATTTTTAGTAGTACTCACAGAAGAAGTTAGAATACAATTATTTGTTGTTTCTTTCTCGTTGACAAGTGAACAAACGAAAAGCTAAAGAAGCCATCAGAGGACAGTTTTTGGAGTAGTCTTGGCATTTGCTTTAAGCAAAATCTTATCCATCTGCCTTGATGTATTTCGGTTTAACGTGTCAAATACTTGGTTCTTGTGTCTGTTAGTGTTAGACTGTACACCCCTCTTAGGGCTGGGAACGGGACGCTGAACTTCAGACTTCCTCAGATATTCTGTCTAGCGAATGGTCATGTAAAATAACAGTAAAATGTGTCAAACCTTTCTTTTTATCTCTTTGAGAATGTTTTTATGGATGTAATATAGGTTGTTGAGAGCTGTACTTGGAAACTAAAATAGACCTGTGAAGATATGGGAGGACCTTGTATTCCCATGGAGCAGCTTTGTGGAAGATAAACCAAAAGCCAACATTGCTCACTGGAGGCATTTTATTGTTCACAGTTCTGGTCCAGCTGGGCAATGTTTACATGTGCTGGTTGTTTGTGCAGTCTTTGTGTTCAGCTAGAAGATGTTATTCAGAATTTGAGATATGACTCTCTATCCCAAGTACAAAGATACATCTTTTTGTGATTTAAATAATTGCTTATCGCAAAACATGTGATAAGACATGCCAGCTTTTTTACCTGTGTTAATGTTTTTGTGGAAAGAGTTTTGTAATGTTTGTATTTTGCAGTATTCTTCCTATATTCAAAATTTTCAACTCTTTCTTCTTTCCCTCTTCCCTACATCATGAGACATAATGAATGGTAGTGACTTGTATTTCAGTAACATGAGAAAAGAGTTGATGTAAAAATCAGTGTATTTGCATTTTGTTAATTAATGTTTGAAATGTGTTGCTTATTAATTCATATTTTCATGTCTAATATATTCACTTTTATTTTTTATCCCATTTAAGAAACTTATGCAAAACTAGTTGTATTTCTTGTTGTGTTAGATGTAGCATGAACGTAAAATTTTAAGGTGAAACAGAATACATCAACTAGCAAAACCTGCAACAGAATTTTTGTCGTTACCTTCTGCATCCCCTCAGTTTGTTCATTCCTTTGTGATACTTCTTACTGTGAAAATTTGTATTATGGATTTTTTTTACACATTTATGATAACTTCAGTAATAATGAATCATTATGAATGATATGTTATAGATTTTTATTTTTTTTTTACTTTAACATAGTTTGTTCAATTCCTTTTGGCAGCACTGAAATTCCTCAGTGCTGTGTGTAAGCCTGTGGAAGAGATCGGGACCTCTGAGTGTAGAAGGAACCCGTTTTACAGTAAATGGAAAAAAATTAAAAAGAAAAAGCTGGGGATTATGATGAAAATAATGAAACTTGCCCGTATGCTTTTGTTAGTTCTGATTATTATTTTTTTTAAACTAGGTGAAGCGGAATGTGTATGACCTAACTAGTATCCCTGTCCGTCACCAGTTGTGGGAAGGCTGGCCTCCTTCTGCCACAGATGACTCGGTAAGTAGCTTTGTGTCTCATTTAATTTCTTCCTACAAATAGATGATTTTACTTGGATTTTTAATCAGAATCACCCAATAACTTTTATTGTCTGGTATGCAGTAACCTATCATAATAATTCATAAGACATAATTCAGGGCTTTATCTTGAAAGATACAAATACAAAAGTACTGGCTTTACTGAAGCACATTTGAGTGGAAATTATTCATGTGTATCAAATTCAATGCATGGTTTAGACTAGGAGGAGCAAAGTTGCACAACATTTGGAAGCTGAGGAGGTCTACTGCTGTGATTGAACTTCAGGAAAGGGTCCTGTTTTTCACATGTGTTCTAGTGCACGTCTAGATATTTTTCTCAGTTGTGCCCAACAGATCACTGGTATCCTTAAGCCTGTGTCTGGCTTTAAGCAGGAAGTGTTCCTGGTGAAATCAATGGAGAGCTTCACTTGCTTTTAAAGTGAATTATTATCTACTTTAGTTCTTGCTGGACCAGTAAGAATTTATGGACATTTGCAAGATGACATTTTGAAATAGTAAATAATATGTTTACAGTACAACGTGTATTCAATTTTCAAAGGTATGTTGCAAGTTTGGAATTACCATTTTTAGAAATGGAGGGAAATCTTAGCTGAGATCAAAGTGAACCCTTGGTGACGGAATCGGCTAACTGTGAATTGCCTACAAATTCATGAAACTGTGGGACTTAACTGCAGAATTCCATTAAATATTAGACTTGCTTCCTTATAGTGTGTTTTACAGCATGTCTTTCAGTTTTGCTCAGATAATTTTCTTCTGGTACTATGTTCCCAATGCCAGCTAGTGAGGTCCACCTTTATTTTAAAAAACAAACAAAACAAGCAAGCAAAAGCCCCCAAAAAACTAACAGGCTGAAATAATTATGTAGTTATGTTGTATGTAGATTTTGTGACCTGAGAAAAATGTAGAAAAATTAAGTATTTCTATTTTTATACAATCATTCATTTAAACTAGGCGTTGAACCTGAGTATTCTACAAAGTGAAAATGGAATTGGGATTTGCTTTTTCTACATATTTGCATTCTCTTCAGTGCATTACTTTCCTGTCCGTTTCTACTCTCTTCTTGTAAAGGGAGGATTGCTGTTTGTATAAGACTGCTGCTTTTTTGCTCCTGTGTAAAGGATTTATGCCAATCAAAAAAAAAAAAAAAAAAAAAGCAAAGACTGTCTGAATTTCTAATATACTTGTAAAATATGTCTGTGGTAGTGTTTGCAGAAACAGTAGTTAAGTTTGAGAGAGGTGGGTAAATCTATGTCCATGTATTCAGGAGCATATCTGAGACGATAGATGTGAGATCTGAAATAACAGCATGGTGTCATGTGGTAATTACAGTCTTTGAAATGTGGATCCATTTTAACATTTTATTAGTTTACATTAGCCCAAAAAAGAATTGGAAACTCAACACTTCTAATCCGTTTTCCCACAGCTGTTAGGTTTTCCCGTATTTTCCCCCCCCTTTCTTTTGAATAGGATACTTCACATATGTAAAACTCATAAATCTGCTTTAAGTCTGTTTTTACAAGTGACATTGTTGCAGGTGAATTTTTCTTGTTTTCATCTTTAATGAAATTGGTGAATGTTGAGTCATCTGCTCCAAAGCAGGAGAGTCCTCAAAGCTCACTGCTCATCTGGTGCAGCTGAGACTTGTCAGCTGTGTAAACAGATTTGAATGTGTTACCAACAAAAATATAATTAATTTCTGTCTAAAATTGGAGGCCATAGCTTACTATTTATAAAGATTGGATGTTAGCAATGACTATCTATGATTCTGCGATTTGAACATTTTTTTTCCTTTGCAAATTAAGCATATTCAGTAATAATTACCTTAGTAATGAGCCATGATGTCTTCAGTTCAGTGGCAAATTTTTAAAAACCACTTTTTCCATCGTGAGTTTTTAATTTGCTGTATTGTGTAGTACTCCGTTGCAATTAAAGAGTTAAACAAAGACTTGATTAAAATACTTTTTCATTTACATGTTATGCAGCATAAGAAATACTTTGTAATACCACAGGAGGTTTTTTCAGTGCAGTTCTCGTTAACCTTTGGCTTAGCAAACAGGACAACTAAATAGACTTCGCATAATTGGATTCCTGTATCGTCTTGAGTCTCTTATGAACCTGACAGACTACAGTCTTCTGACATTATCAGGAAATTTAGTGGAGTCAATAGTCATTTAAAACATTGTTGCTTCATCTCCCTTCAGAGTTATGTTCTCTGCTTGTACTATCTAATGAAATATGGGATACTGTATGAATTGTCAGTAACTCTTTCAGATCCTTTTGCACACTTGCACCAAGGAAATGAGTATCAAAACCTCCACACGCAGGAGAATGTTTTCGTGCTGTGATGGTGTGATTGTGGGGAACAAGGCATACATAGTCTGTGGAAATCTCACGTTCACTATTCGGCAAGGACATAATTGTGCCTGAATAATTTTAACATCATGAATTATATCTGTTCTGCTCATTAAGTTCAAATAAAGTAAATGTAGGAGTTTTAAATCATTATTTTTTAACAAGTTTTCTTAAGTAAAACTTATATTAAAGACTTAATTTATCTGGTTTGGGGTATATATCATCAACTGATATAATGAACTCTAGAAAATTATCCCAGAAAACGGAAAAATAATTATAATTTGATTTAAATAGGTTCACAGTTTGTTCTTAGTATTTGTTTTTGTTTTGGATATTGCAACAACCTTAACATTACTGAACCTGTAAAATGAAAATGGAGCCAGAATAGTTTATTAAAAGTTCTGAAATGTGTTCCATCTCTCTTTGCTATATATTGGCTCAACTTCTAAAATTCCACTGGTAATTACTGCTATTGCAAAGCTGAATGAGCAACCTTCACATATGTATCTGTTAAAAAAAAAAAAAATCCGAGATCAGTTGTAGGTGGCGTTTTAGTTTTTACATGAAAACATTGTGATGTCAATTCTGTAAGAACAGATTACTTTTTTGTTATTAGCTTTAGAAGTGTGTATTTGAGGTAAAACTTTTTTCCGCCCTTGAAGTCACTGGTTTTTGGTTTAAAATTTTGTCCCTGATGTTTAAGTTCATTTTGGTACCATAGAACAGCAACACCCTATATGGGAAGGAGGAGCGAGGTTGCTTTTGTGCTCCTTTTGTTCTTGGTATTTAGGCTAAAACTTTTTTCTTAATTAGTTCATTGTTTTAAGTCGTTTCAGCATAGCGATGAGAAATGCCTGCTTCTTCATAAGTAACGACAGTGAGCTTGCCAAAATGGAATTTATTTCTGCATGGAAAAGATGTAAAACTTTTCAAATGAGGTTTGGAGGGGTGAAGGGGAGAGAGACAAAGACAGAGGATGAGGTGCCCAGCGTTGCAAGTGTGCCCTCACACGCAGATCCCGTGCAGAGGAACTTGGCATCTGTCCTTCTGTCTACTGCCAGTAACGCTTTGTTTCCCTGAATGGGATGGTTGGTCAAGACGTCATATCCTCATTTCAAGAAGAGTAACTGGACTTCTTTGCTAGATAGAAAAGCCAATGGATATTAGTTAGGCACAAGTAGGTCTACAGCTACAAATAATTCGTCTGCACAACTGAAGAGTCACATTTCAGATGTGACGTGTGTAGTCACTAACGTATTGGAGCTCCTCATCTCTACAGCTACAAATAATTCGTCTGCACAATTGAAGAGTCACATTTCAGATGTGACTGTAGTCACTAATGTGTTGGAGCTCCTCATCATCCCCCTTGCGAACATGACCACCTTCAGTTCTGTGACGGCTGTAGCAGATGTGGTTGACGTTCCTTAGCTGAATTTAATAAAGGCTTCCAAGTTAGAATCCAAATTCTCAAACACTTATGTATGATCTAATTAGCACTGCTGTTATATTTAGCTATTTCATTGCTAAGTACTAAGCACAGTCTGTCTGCCCAAATAGAAATTAAGAATGCCGATAAATGGCATTCTGGTACAAAGTCAAACCATTTATGATGCTTTTTGGCTGTTCTCCAGGATTTTGAAGAGGTTGAGTATCAAGCATCTGAGTAATTAGTATTTGGGAATATATATTTCGTTCCCTTTCCAGGTCTCGCTTTCTGAACAGAAAGTTTGTTAGCACATGCTGTCATTGTGATATGAAAACAAATCATGAGGTTTACATACACTGGCTGTTTAATTGTAATGGATGCAATTCTGCATTTACTGGATCGTTTGGAATTTTCCCCCTGGAATTGATATGACTAAAGAATTAATAGTTCTGACAGAGAAAGTGTCTATTAATCCTAAGCATAAACTTCATTATATTTGAATTAAAATACATACGTCATTAGAAAATACTCAACTGTTTTTTTCTGTGTAAGAATATAATTATTATAATTTGGATTGTCTGCAGTATTAATTACTTTGTATGTTACTTTCCCTCTGTGGTTCTCATCAGTTGCTTGTAGTAGTGTAGTAGAGTGGATCTGGTGGGATCCTTTTAATTTAGATGCTTGGAAGAGTACTTGAAGTCAAACAAGGAGTTTACAGTTGTTCCTTCACTTTTTTTTTTTTCCCCCATCCCCCTTGTCTATTTGCTATTTATAAAAATTAAGATAAAGTTTTTGGAATTAATTTCATTTATGTAAAAATTACCATGTCAGGGTTAATCAGTTTTGTGTTACGTTTGTACTTTTTAATCACAAGAGAATTTATTTAGGATTGTCCAGTTATAAAATAACTCAATTGAAGTGATCTACACCTATCACATTGCTTTTGTGAAGGATTTATTTCCTCACTGCATGGTGATGAGTCTTACTTTTCTTAGTTACCAAAAAAAAAGGGTTCTAGCTCTTGTAACTAATTTCATCCATGAATTTAGATGGTCAATAAAATAACAGGATTTTGGGGCTGATCTCATGTTTCTTATGGGGAAGAGAAGATTGATTTGGATGTACACAGGTGTACTGGGAGTTAGGGAGGTGGTAAAAGTCTGTTTTATGACAGTTTGTCA